GTGTTCTGGGTGTTGGTGTTCTGGGTGTTCTGTGTGTTCTGGGTGTTGGGTGTTCTGGGTGTTGGTGTTCTGGGTGTTGGTGTTCTGGGTGTTGGTGTTCTGGGTGTTGGTGTTCTGTGTGTTCTGGGTGTGGGTTGTGCGTGTTCTTGTTGTTGTTGGTGTTCTGGGTGTTCTGTGTGTTCTGGGTGTTGGTGTTCTGGGTGTTGGTGTTCTGGGTGTTCTGTGTGTTCTGTGTGTTCTGGGTGTTCTGGGTGCTCTGGGTGTTCTGGGTGCTCTGTGTGTTGTGCTGTATTGATCCAGATGATCTGGTTCTTCTCACTCAGATAACAGCACTCTTATTTTGAAATAAAAAAACCAGTGTTTGATGATGATGATGATGATGATGATGATGATGACGGTGGTGGTTCTAACCTGGATGAAGAGCCAGGAGGTGACCAGGGCCAGGCTGCTGTACTGGCCATTGAAGCGGTAGTGATAGGCGTAGAAGGCGAAGTGGTAGAGATAGAAGAACCTGAGATACAACCGAGTCATTAACGAACTCACTCATTAACTCAGTCTTAACAGCGTGAGCTAAACTTATTAACTTCTGAACTCCTTGAATCATTTAACCTGTTAATATTATTAGTGGATAAAAAGTTAATCAAAATCTCAATCCTGACATAAACCCTTCACTTTAATAACAATTTAAACTTCTCATCAAACTCGTCAATAATAATAATAATTAACACTGATGGAAATTATGTCATCAAGTTGTTAAACTCGTTAGTTCATTAAGAAGAAGAACTTTTTGAATTAATATTTAGTTTTTCAAATTAAAAGACAGGATCTCTGTCTGACAGACTCAAGTGTATGCTCTGCTCGTTCAGGATTAGTTAAAGTCAATTGAGGTTAATTGAGGTTCTTTAACAAGACAGTGGCACGAGCTGCTGTTGGTCATGTGACTCACCTCAGCCAGTGACGTTTGCTGGTGTTGGTGTGGCAGCAGATGGCGTCGTACTGATCGGCCAACCAGACGATGAGGATGATGTAGAAAGCTGTGGTCGTGTCATTGAAGAACTCCGACATGATGGCCTCCATACCTAAAGATAGTAGAAGTGACATGTCAACACAGGTGTGGTCGACTTTACCTGGGAGACTCTAGGTCTGAAAACATCTGATGTAATCAATCAGGGAGGGTAATGTAATAAAGTACCAATCAATCAATCAGTCAGGACTTGGGACTGTCAGTCCTGAATGTGGTGAAAAGTAGGACTTGATTTCAACCTGGTCTGGTCTCGACTCAGGACTGTCGACTTTGGACCTGAGACTGGTCTGATCCAGACTGTCAGACCTGGTCAGACCCGACCCAGACTCAGATCCAGACTTTGTGACGTGAACTTACCGACGAGGGCCAGGATGACGGTGAGCAGAGGGGCTGCTGGGAAGGCGATGGTCATGTTCATCTCCAACATCTGAAGCAGATCCACTGAAGGGGGACAGACAGAAACCAGATCAACACCAAGTGGATCCTCCAGATAAGAGGTCCGGTTCTACCAGTCTGATCTGTATCTAAGCTTCTACTTCAAGGACTGAGACCAGAAACACTGAACTGGGTTACATTATACTGGTCAGGTTCAGAGGAGACTGACCGATGAAGACAAAGATCTGGTGGTGAGAGTATCTGAGCAGCATCGACACAGAGAGAGTCTGAAAACCACAAGACATCAAACATCAGTAAGAATAATAATAATAATAACAATAATAATAATAATAATAATAATATGAAGAAGAAGAAGAAGAAAAAGAAGAAGAAGTCGGACCAGGGACCAGGTTCTGACTTCTTGACTTACAAATATGACCATGATGACGAAGGCGGCCAGGTAGGAGGTTCTGGCCATCCACATGCTGACGAAGCGGTAATGTTCTCCAGAGACCACGTTCCTCAGGAACCCTGCAGAGAACCACACTGTGACATTATTACCTGATTCATCCAACAACTGGTCAACTAGAAACCTGCTTCTGTGATCTGGACTAGAAGAACTCAGGTTCTGTAGTCTGGGTCGGGGATCAGACGAACCTGGTTGGTGGTATCAACAAACTACCTTTGTTCTCCTCGTTCTCAGCAAGAGCCTTCACACTGGACATCAGGATGTCATCGTAGCCCAGGAACTCATCAAGCAAGAAACGACTGAAGCCGTCACCGAAACACTCGTCCTTCATGGGATCTACACAGAGACATGAGTCATGAGTCATGTGACTGAGGCAGGTGCATCAGGTGTGTCAGGTGCATCAGGTAGAAGCCATGTGACCGATGCAGGTGTTTCAGGTGTGTCAGTGCTAACCCAGAGTTACGACCATGACGGGGATGTTGAGTCTCTGCCTGGTACTCTGAGACAAACGGAGAAAGCCATACTCCAGAGAATACTCTACGATGTATTCCTCCTGAGGCCACACTGAAACACAACCACAATAAAAAAAATAATAATAACAACAAAAATAATAATAATAATAATAATAACAACAATAACAATAAAGATGAACAGTAGTTTCAGTGGATGTTACGTCACTTTTTCTTTTATCAGGCTTAAAACAAAGGAATGAGTCAGACATTGATTTCACCACAATCACTGTCTAACAGATAAAACAATCAATCATCAATATCAGATCAATAGATTTCAGCCTCTAACAGGAGACATGCTGCAGTCAGGAGCAGGAAGAGGAGGGGTCAAGAGGAGGAGGACTCAGAAGGAGGAGGAGGATTCAAGAGGAGGAGGGTTTACCTGCTCTGGTCATCATCTCCAGTTCAGACACTGACTCCTTCAGCAGCTGCGTACCTTTAGTGGTCTGGGCAAAGGAGACGTCCTGGCTGTCGTTGACTCCTCCTCCTCCTGCTGCTGCTCCGCCTCCTCTTGCTCCACCTCCGACCAAAGAGGGCTTCAGACGAGGCTCCATGTCCAGCTCAAACTGTAGGAGACAGACAGACTGGTGAGAACAGGTCCAGCCAAGGTCCTGGTCCTCAGATCCACGTTCCCCATCAGGTCTCTCTGGGCTGACCATGATCAGATCTTTAATACTGATCCTACTGAGTTCTGATTCTGACAGACCTCAACCTGGAACAAATCTGATCCAGATCCAGAAAGTCCTGGTTTAAACATTAACCACACAGTACCCACTGGGAGGGGACAAACCCAGGACCAGAACCTGAGTCTCACCTGCACTGAGCTGTTATCAAACATCTCCAGAGTCATCTCCTCTTCTTCCTCCTCTTCCTCCTGCAGCGCTGCCAGACTGAGCCCCACCCCTCCTCCTCCTCCTCCTCCTCCTCCCTCCTCTGCCTCCAGCTCCTCCTGGAGGGCTGCTGAATCGTAGTACTGCAGGAAGACCGGGGCCCTGCTGGAGTTCCTCTGGATCTCCACCCGCAGGATGCCGTCACGGGGCCAGCGCTCCCTCACCGCCTCCAGACAGTTGATGGGCGAGCGAGAGAAGGCGATGTGGATGTAGGCGAGGATGAAGAGGACGAAGAGCGCCTGAGGAGGAGGAGGGGGGAGGAGTTAAGACTGAACCTGCAACAACATCTGAACACACTGAAGACTAAAGACCAGAATCAAGAGCTCAGACCCCGAGTCAGAGTCACTGACCAGTGTCAGGGTCACAGACCAGGGTCAGGGTCACAGGCCAGTGTCAGGGTCACAGACCAGGGTCAGGGTCACAGGCCAGGGTCAGGGTCACAGGCCAGGGTCAGGGTCACAGACCAGGGTCAGGGTCACAGACCAGTGTCAGGGTCACAGGCCAGTGTCAGGGTCACAGGCCAGGGTAACGGTCAGGGTCAAAGACTGGGTGAAGGATCATCACTGTGATCAGACAAAAACATGGCCATGCTCAGGTCTGTTTTATTCATGGGGGATATTCACTATATAAAAAGCTTTTATTCTGAAATTTGTGAATAGGACTTTTACTTTTATCTTTGACTTCAGTCTGACCTCTGACCTTTAACAGTCTGATCACTGTGGCCCTGCTGTGTTAAAGCTTGGACACAGAGACCTGAGGTGGTGTGACACGTTGACCTGGTCCTGACTGGACCCTGGAGGACTCAGCAGGTCTGAGGTCGATCAGTGACTCAGACTCACCTTGAGCAAGACGAAGAACTCGAAGACTCTCCTGAAGGATGGCGGGAAAAGTCGGGCATATGTGACAGCCATCTTGAAGAAGAGGGCATGGAAGAGGCGATCTCGGACATTGATGAGGGGGTTCTGGTTCATGTTGGGGTTTCGGATTCTGTTGGGTCCCATGTTGTTGTTGTTTACAGGGACGTTGTTGTTGTTGTTGGCCTGGTTCTCAGACATGGTCTCTGGATCTGGATTACTCTGCTCACGCTGCACAAACTCACAGGTCCTGGTCCTGGTCCTGGTCCTGGTCCTAGGTCAGCATGGCTGCCTCAATCGCTTCAGAGTCAAGGTCAAACTGACCCCAGATCAAATGAAGGTCTACAGAGTCTGGATCACTCTGGGGGGGTCTGACGTGGACTGAGCTTCACAGAGACCTGAAACTGTGGGACACAGAGTGAACACACCTGAACATTTACCATATCAATGACACTGATCAATAACTGATAACTGATCTGTTTTCAGCCAGTTACTGACTGTGTGTCGTCCTGACAACCGATGTCTCGTCAAGGTAACGACAAATATTCAGTTATCACAATGCTGATTCAAAATTTTTTGATCAACTGATTGATTAATCATCTCATCGTTTCATCTGACACGTTAGTGATTGAACAGTTTACATCTGTTTACAATATGTTCACCTCTTTATACCTGTTTACATGTCTACACCTGAGGCCTGAACTATGAAGCAGGCTCAACTTATCCAGGATGTTTTCGTTATCTGGCTTCACTGGGTCTAACACAGTGGCCACACAAAAGGGCCAGAGTTTGCAGCATGTGACCAATCACAAACATGGACAAGTCTCCTAGCAGCGGAGTGGCTCAGTTGTTTTCCTTAATCTGACCTAATCTCTAATTTTCTCAATGAATTGATTAGTTTATATTTCGGCTCTCACTCTTATATTTCATATTCACTTCACTATCAGATAATTAACATTAAAGGACTGTAAAAATCTGCAGCTTGGTCCAGAGGAGACGGACTGATGACTACAGCTGGGTTTATTTTAACGGGAAGTCTCCGGCAGAGTGACCGTGTAATCCTCAGATCCTCTTTAACACTTCTTCACACAGACCTCTGAGGACTCTGGTCTGATGTCAGGCTGAAAACCTGGTTCTGTCTCACACTCAGGAGTCTTCTGTGTATTCATGGTCCAGGCCGGTGGACTGAGGTGGTCCTGGTGGTCTCGGGGCCTGTTTTCAGCTCTGGTCCGGCAGGTAAACATCCTGCTGCGGACACCTCACACCAGTCTCATCTCAGCTTCACACCGGCCTCACACTAGCTCCACTTTAGCTGGTCTCTGTCTCACCTGTTACTGACTCCGTAGGTGTGTGTCCATGCTAACGTCTCGTCCTCGATGTTTTCATCACAACAAACAAATAAACAGACTCTGAAACGACACAGCTAGGTTTAAGCACTGTTAGCACCGTTAGCAGGCTCCGAAGACGAGGCTAACGGAGGCTAGCAGCTAGCAGGTCCCGGAGTATGAGTGGACTCATTTCATTTTGATCCGGCTCACTCCGATCCAGATCCAGATCCAGATCCAGACTCAGACTCAGCCTCAGACTCAGACTCAGAGAGATTATTATGGAGGCTGAAGATGAACTGACAGAGCTGACAGCGCTAACACAAGCTAACACAAGCTAACAGGAGACTGACGGCTGCTGTTATGAGACGGAACCACAATCAGACCGGAAATACGGGTCCTTTATGTTCCCTGTATTTTCCCCGGGTTCAGTCTGCCAGGTGCCTGCTCTGAGCGCACCCCTCCCCCCAAACTTTATTAACCAACCTGCACCCTACAAACAGGTGTGATCTGCAGGATGACGTCACAAAATATGAACACTGCGATGTTCTCAGATGACATATCTTTAACAATGTTGTCACGCTCAGGTCAATCACATCATCACAGAAGCTTTAACCAGCCTCAGGAGGAGCTGCACTCAGTTCTCATCCAGGCTCAGAAACACAGGAGAGAAAACTTAACTGTTTTTATTCAATAGAAGGATTAAGTGTATGTAACTGAAATATAAATACAATGGGCGTCAGTGGACTTGTTAATATATAAAGTTGAAAAGTTAAAATGATAAAAGTCCTTGCATCTGTCAACAATTACACATTATTATTATTATTATTATTATTATTATTATTATTATTATTATTATTTTCTTTTACATTTGAATATGGGGGTTATATTATTATTATTTATTTTAATTATATTTGTATGTGTGGAATATGTGTGTATGTGTGGAGCACTGCAACACAACATTTCCCGCAGGGGATTAACAAAGTATTTCTGATTCTGATTCTGATCAAGGTGTTATTTAAATTTGATCCCACACCTGTAAGACCTGACTTTGGGAAATAAGGTCCCATGGTCATCAGGCTGGCCACGGCGCCATCTCAGATAAACAGAAATTACAGTTTAGCGCCGATAGGAAATTGTATAGATAAAACACGTTGTATCTGAATCAGACTCTCAGTGAAACACACACAGTGTGCTATCAGATGTTAAACATGTTTCTAACATGTTTTAAGATGTTTTACAGTCAGGCAAATACAGAGACAGCTCTGTGAGCCGTGGGTCCTGGCTCCCAGTTGATGTGAATGAACGATCAGTTTGTTTGTTTCATCATAGTCACGTTAAATGTCCATCAAACTGCTCCAAGTCACTCCATCGTTTTATTTAGAATTTTCATTCTAAAGGTCGATTAATTGTTTGTCAAAAAACGGATTTATCATCGTTTCTATCAGCGTCAGAGGAGCTGAATCAAAGTAAGATAAGCTAACTTTAGCATGCTAACTGACACTTGAATTCTTCCTTTTAACAGTTCAGTGCTAAATAACTACTAACTAACTACTATTGACTAGCAGCCGTTAACTGGGCTGTAATCTGACTGAAATCAGGTCACATTCGGCTCTCACTCTCTGAACAGAGCTGCTACTGTTTCCAGATAATCGTAGGTGTTTAGACTGAACACAGAGACGAGTCAGTTCAAACTGATGAAGAGAAACCTGCAGTTTTTAAAGCGAGTTTAGTGAACGAGTAGAACAGCAGAACCTAGTGCTGCTCTAAACGGGGGCGTGTTCACGAGAAGAGGGCAGGTGAACGGCTCTCTTTTCTGGAAACTCAGAGTTGAGACCAGAGCCTGCCCGAGGCTTCAGTGAACTAAGTGTCTTCCTCTAAAGTTTCCAGTCTTAAAACTCTCTGTCTCCAGGTGAGGCGTCCTGCTGGCCTCCAGCTTCTTCTTCTGTCGTGAATCATGGAGTTGGCGTATGTCTGTGAGTGGGAGAAACGTCCCAAGAGCACTCACTGTCCCTCCATCCCCCTGGTCTGCTCCTGGTCCTGCAGGAACCTCGTGGCCTTCACCACAGACCTGAAGAACGACGACGACGACAAAGGTAAACACACACACATCAATTCATTTTACTTAAACATGTAGTGGTTCAGGGTTTTGATCTTAAAGTCATCAACTGAATCTGTGTGTGTGTGTGTGTGTGTGTGTGTATATATTTTAGATGTCAGTCACATGATCCACATCATTGACACTGAACACCCCTGGGATGTTTACTCCATCAACTCTGGACACACTGAGGTCATTTCCTGTCTGGAGTGGGACCAATCAGGTGAGGTTTCCACGGATCAGGATTCACAGTGAATTCATTGAGGTGTTTGTATGTGTTTTGATGTACCTGTGTGTGTGGAGGTTCGAGGCTGCTGTCCGCAGACGGTGACGGTCAGATTAAATGCTGGTCGATGTCGGATCACCTGGTGAACAGCTGGGAGAGCGTCCTGTCCAGCTCCCTGGACGGAGATCCCATTGTAGCTCTGAGCTGGCTTCATAATGGAGTCAAACTGGCCCTGCATGTCGAGATGGTAATGCCCACTGATCTATACACGTGGAGAATATAGAGTGTGTGTCAGACAACTATATGTCAGGTCATAGGTTGGATAGTATTGGTGATAGGGCTGCTCGATGGCAAAAAACTTAATCATGATTATTTTGAAGCCAAATCGTAATTGAAAATAAAATTAGATTAATTGCCCAGCCCTAATTGGAAAGATAGTAGGTACAGGTATTAGATGACAGGTGTGTGTCACACCTGTTCCCTGCTGTCAGTCAGTAAACATCGTGTGTTCTTGTCTCTTCTCGGTTCAGTCGGGTTCTACAAACTTTGGTGAGAAGTTCTCTCGGGTGAAGTTCTCTCCATCTCTGACTCTGTTTGGTGGGAAGCCAATGGAGGGCTGGTTGGCGGTGACGGTGAGCGGTTTGGTCACGGTGTCATTGTTGAAGCCAGGCGGCACTCTGCTGACAGCCAGTGAGAGTCTGTGCCGGCTGAGAGGACGAGTGGCATTAGCTGACATCGCCTTCACCGGAGGAGGGAACATCGTGGTGGCAGCCACCGATGGCAGCAGCTCGTCTCCGGTCCAGTTCTACAAGGTCAGAACCAGAACATCCCCACGCAACAACAGATCATCACAGGGAAAAACTGACCTTCACTAGCGCCATCATCAACTACATAAATGTTTATATGTTGTGCTCAGGTGGTGGTGAGCGTGGTGAGTGAGAAGTGTCGCATCGACACTGAACTGTTACCGTCGCTGTTCCTGCGCTGCACCACAGACCCACTGAGGAGGGAAAAGTACCCAGCTGTGACCCACCTCAAGTTCCTCACCAGGGAGAACTCTGAACAGGTGACCAGTACAACCAGTAGAACTCTGAACAGGTAACCAGTAGAACCAGTAGAACTATGAATAGGTAACTAGTAGAACCAGGAGAACTCTGAGCAGGTATCTTACATCAGTAGAACACAGGTCAGACATGTATCTGTCACAGAACCATCAGCAGTTGGAGAACCCTGCAGAACCAATAATTGTTTCCATGTGTTCTGCAGGTTCTCCTGTGTGCGTCCAATCAGAGTGGCAGCATTGTGGAGTGCTGGTCTCTGAGGAAGGAGGGACTTCCTGTCAACAACATCTTCCAGCACCGCTCACCAGTTGGTAAGAAACAAACACAAACTGTTTCAAACTGGTCCAAACTGGTCCAGGTAGTTCAGCTGGTCTGACTGGTGGTGTGATGTGGTTCTCAGTGGGGGAGAAGCAGCCCACCATCCTGAAGTGGAGGATCCTGACGACCACCAACGACCTAGAGCGAGTGTCTGCCGTCGCTCTGCCCAAACTGCCCATCTCCATCTCCAACACCGACCTGAAGGTGGCTTCAGACACCAAGTTCTGCCCCGGACTTGGTGAGGAAAACTTACTTGTATCACCTGTGCAGGTGTAACCACACAGACAGAAACCTTATCCACCACGCCATCTTCAGTTTGAATGTTGGTGTATAGTCCCGAATACAGATCCTGACCCTGATTGTAAGACCACACCCCTTTGACACTCGTCATCATCACTGGAGTGAAACATGAAACACAGTCATTCATAAACCAACATCATCCAGCTGCCACAGTCCGGACCGGAAACCTCAGACCACCTCAGTGCTGATTTGCTGCATGTTCACTTGTGAAACTGAGGTGGGTCGTTTAGTGAAGATCAACTGTTCACTCCACCTGTCCTCCTGCTCTCAGGTCTGGCTCTAGCCTTTCATGACGGCAGTATTCAGATCCTCCACCGTCTGTCCCTCCACACCATGGGGGTTTTCTACGGCTCCTCCTCCTCCTCTGGCCAGAGACCGGGAGACGAGTCCGCCATCAAACGCCAGAGGACTGGAGGCCCCGCCCTCCACTTCAAGGCCCTGCAGTTCTCCTGGACCTCACTGGCTCTGGCTGGAGTCGACAACCATGGAAAGGTGAGGAAACACACCTGTTATCTGGACCACAGCAGCCAGAGGCCCTCATGGTTCAGACATGTCTGACTGAGCTGCATGAATCTGTTTTATTACATTAAAATGTAAACCTTAAAATAACAGCTTCAAAATGGTACACTCAGTTGTAATGGGGAGAACTGCACCTTCAGTCCTACTTCGCACCCTGAATGATAGGTGTTCTGAATGTTCCGACTGTTCCGAAAGTACACTGGTTAAATCAGATGTTATAATGTTGTTGTCTGGTCCTCAGCTCCACATGCTGCGGGTGTCGCCCTCTATGGGTCAGGTGCTGGAGATGAACACGACGCTGCGCCACCTGCTGTTCCTGCTGGAGTACTGCATGGTGACGGGCTACGACTGGTGGGACGTCCTTCTTCATGTGCAGCCCACCATGGTCCACAACCTGGTGGAGAAACTTCATGAGGAGTACATGAGGCAGAACCAGGCGCTGCAGCAGGTCAGCAAAGCATCATGGGAGAACAGCACAGGTGGGAAGGGGACAGAAACGGATCCACATCCAAGATGATATATAGCTCCAGTTGGGAGGACAATGAGACTAGGGGTGTGGCTTGTCTGATTTTATTTAATAATAATTTAGTTTCTAAAATATCTGATGGTACAGAAAAATACCCACAAAAGCTAGAGCATATTTTAGTCTTTTATTATTTACCTTGAAAAAATGACATTAAGTGTTTGACTATAACAAAAGTTCACTGATTTTCTTTTGATCACCTCATGAATCAATAGTTTAATTCAAACTCAAAGAATCGCCAGACTATGAGCGATTCCTAACAATCAGATGAAATGCATTCTTCGACACTGTGTTACCTTGCCTGGAATAAATAAGGG